TTACTATCCAGGGTCCTAGAATGTGCCAGGGGTTTTCTCTTCTCTGATTGGTCACCTGTTTCACAGGCGTATTTTGATTGGGTGCAGCTGCAGTCACACAGTTCCACTTACTTATCCATAGTTCCATCATTTTTGTAGGTTTACATGCTAGTTTTGCCACCATGATGCGTATAGAAACTTTTTTAATTTAGGAATATGAAATTGCTTCTCTTATTTATTTATTTTTTTAGCTGCAAACTAGGTAAAGCTGGAGCTGAAGTCATCTCTGGAAGATAAAAAGGTCTCTAGAATAAATATGCAGCAATACAAGGCTGTGCTGTAAAGTTATCAGAAAATTCACAAAGACACACATTGTATTCAGCACAAGTATTGCCTTTGCACACAGTAGTTCTTCATAACAGTGGGATAAAGATTGTTATGAAGACTTCTTATGAAGCTTTAGTGTTTAGAGTTTGTTAGCTCTCATTTTCTCTCCCTCACTCCCTCTTGCTCGCTAAACATCATTGTTCTCTTGTACTTTTTGAAAAGGTCTTGCTAACACGTTCTCAGGCTGTTATTTTGCATTGATTTTGCCTGTCAGAGTAATTCTAGCTTGGCTTCTGTGATGGATGGAGGCAAACAGCCCATCTCCACTTCCGGTGTTGTGCGCTCACTCTCTCTCTCTCTGTGCCTGCGGCAGTTACCTGCTTTTAGCACATCAGATGGGTTAACTCTCTTTGCTGATGATATCTGCTTCCATGCACAGGTCAAATCAATGCCCTTTGTTTCCTTACACTCAAGATGTTTATTTTGTTCCAGCATTTTGTCTTTATTAGGAGAATGAGTAGCTGAGGGTATATGATCTGAGATGAGAGAATGAGACAGCAGGGTGCAGTTTTCTTGGAATCAATGCTTGAAGCCTTTTGGCTTTATTGCATTAATCTGGCCCATTGTGGACTCAAATTCAGCCGAAGCGGTCCCCCTTTGACTTTGCACTGTCTTACTTTAATTTAATACAGCTCTGAGCAGAGCTACATGTGATTGTGTTATTTATCATACGCATTAAATGCTTATAGTAATCATGCTTCAGCTCTAGCATTTTTATTAATGTATTACGTAAAGCCACAGTATCCACAAGTAAAACAAAGATTTTTACCATAGTTAGAGGATTACAACTACTATTATTGAAACAATGAAAAAATATTGAAATAGTTTAATAATTTAAACAATAAGTTTAATTATTACTGTAATTACTTTTATTCATTATATGCCATACTGATTTAAAATGTGACAGTAAAGATATTTAGAATGTTACAAAGAATTTCTATTTATTTAACCCTTGTGCGGTCTTCGGTCACTTTTGACCGAAGAATTTTACATTTTGAATATTTAAAAATCATAGCTTCATTTTTGTGTGTACAATCTACAAATCCCCCACGATGTAGAAAAAATTGCACAGCAATGAATGGGTGAAACTCTAAAACATCTAGAGTGCAAAATCAACACACCCACTCACACACTCGCGGACACACACACACTTGTACACACACACACCCCTATGAACTGGTGTGCCTGTAACACAGCAACTATGTAAAATAAAATCAATAATTCAACTACAATTTAGTAAAAAAGTGGACAGCAAGGCAGGGGTTACACTCTAAAACATCAAGAGTGCAAAACAGACATATCCACTCACACACACTCACAGACACACACACACACACACACACACAATTATGCACACTCTAATGAATTGGTATGGCTATAACCATTTAGCCAAAATGAGTCAGAAAACTGAAATAAGAGGTTAAAATCAGATCAGGCCCAGAAGGATTAAGCTCTGATAAAGCATCCCTGTTTATTTTTGTTACATTTTTATATAATTTTAATGTTTTGTATAACAAAATGCTTTCTGTATTCAGGTTTGACTGTAGTAGTACATGATATGCTGTTCCTCACAGAGAGAATGACTTTAGGTCTTCATTCTGTTTTCTCAAGTGTAAAATGCCACACATTTAAACAGAACAGAACAGAATAGAATAGATATATTATAATAATATTAAGTGCCAGTTCATCACGACAGTTCATACTTCTTATGACAGGCTCTCAAACATTTCTCACCTAATTTACATTCACAAAATTAAAAGAATGTGAATAATCACACTTTAATTTAGCAAATTTGTGAATAATTTGTTGTTGCCACATTACTGCACCTTTCTTTCTTTGCTCTCACCAGGAGGTGCTAATCTGCCTTAAAAAAGAAAGGATTTTAAAGGCCTAGTCTCTATTTGAATCAGAGATACTGCATTGATTGAAAAATATATATTTTTTAATTTTAGAGATTTTTTTGTACTATTTTCAATGGGAAAAGTTGATAATAATTATTGCATAAATATTAATTATTACCATAAAATTCTCTCAAAATAAAAAATATTATTGAACAAAAATATATTAGATTGATTTTACCGAAGAAAAATGCGGCACTTTTGACCGCGAAGATCATGAGTGTGACTCCCAAATGAGGAGTGCACAAGGGTAATATTTAACTTGAACTTTGATACTAATAAATGTTTCTTGAGCAGCAAATCGACATATTAAAATAATTTCTGAAGGATCATGTGACACTGAAGCATGGAGTAATGATGCTGAAAATTCAGCTTTGCCATCACAGGAATACATTTCATTTTAAAATGTATTCAAATTAATAAGATCTCACAATGTACTGTAAAAATATTAATAGCTAAGACCATCAAATGACCATAGGCCGAGTTTTATAAGTGCAGTCACCAATATGTAGTTGTTCTCTGAACAGAACAACTTTAATACAGTGATATCACTCAGTTATTCAGCCTGTTTAAGTGAATTGAACATGTCCTTCTTGCTTCCATTCAAAGCTCTTACAGCTAAAGCTAACACAGTTTAGTCACATTGTCAGGGTGTATTAGTGGTTCAAACTCCCTAGAGCAAGTATCATGGTAAGTCGGTATCAGTTCCGTCTGTCCTTCAACAGGCTGCTCTCTGAAAGATAATGCTCCTTCTCAGGAGAGTATGAGTGCTATTAAAGTATTCAGTGCTAACAACATTAACCACAAGGTCATTCAATTTAGCTGTTCCTCAGAAGCACCTCTGCTGTCTGTTTCTCAGAACAAACCTGATGTTTGTTTAAAGCACCAGCTCTGCTTAATAAAACACCAGCTGCTTTCAGATTCAATGCTTTAAATAATATGTGAATAATTCATTGGATGGTGATGGTGTTTTTAGCCCCAAACTTCCTGGAAGGGGGTGAAGGGGCAATAGGGAGACCATGGTGACAGTTGAGTCAGTGAAAAGAGTGATTCAAATCCCACTGAGCTAGAAGTACATGATATGCTGTTCCTCACAGAGAGAATGACTTTAGGTCTTCATTCTGTTTTCTCAAGTGTAAAATGCCACACATTTAAACAGAACAGAACAGAATAGAATAGATATTATTATAATATATTAAGTGCCAGTTCATCACGACAGTTCATACTTCTTATGACAGGCTCTCAAACATTTCTCACCTAATTTACATTCACAAAATTAAAAGAATGTGAATAATCACACTTTAATTTAGCAAATTTGTGAATAATTTGTTGTTGCCACATTACTGCACCATTTGCTACTAGTGGCAGATATTTACACTACAGCTCAAAGTTTTGGTCAGTAAAAATAATGTTACAAATGATTTCTATTGCAAATAAATGCTGTTCTTTTAAAATTATGAAAAAAAAAATGTATCATGGTTTCCTCAAAACTATTAAGTAGCACAAACTCTTTTCGACATAGACAAAAATTAAATAGGATTTCTGAAAGATCATTATGAATAATTGTAATGAATTATAACCTTTAATAACCCCTTATAATACATTATACATAAAAGCTTTAAGTAAAGTGTTACAAAAAATTATATTTAAAATGCAGCCTTAGTGAGCATAAGAGACTTCTTTCAAAAACATTAAAAGAAAAAATTCTTACTTGCCCCAAATTTTTGAACAGTATAGTTTGCTAAAAGTTTGACATAGAGCTATTTGCCAGTACTGGCAGATTACTATAAATTAAATATAAGTTTGTTGTACATAAAGTAAATTGTTCTAACAAGGAACTGTGGAATGGATTGATAAGTGAAATAATAAATCTATATGGCATGATGAATAAATGAAGGAACATACAAACATCAGTGATGATATAATTCGAGCGCTATGTGTCACCTGCAGCTTCCAGCAGTTTTCTTATGCTCGGCGTGTTCCTGTAATCTGGCCTCAGGTTTAAATGCAGTATTCCATCACCAGGGGCTAGATTCTAGCCCGCTAAAACATTCAGGTACTTCATGAACATTTTATTAACAGAATTACTCCACACAAGCGATCAGGACCAATACCTCCTTCTCTGACCTCACTCCCTGCTGAAAACTTTCCTAACACACAAACGCCTCACAACATCAGTTCTTGTAAAATGTATTTATTGATGTGTGTTAGTCATAAGAGGTTATAAGGTTTGAATCTGTTAACACGTGAAAGAGAAAATAAGTAAAGAGCAGTAGCTAGAAAGGGGAATGGTTGTTAAACAAAGTTTAATGTAGTGATTGTGTGGGTGTTTGTATTTGTTTGTTCAGAGGCTTTAAGGAAGCTGACAGTGAGACTCATAAATTCTTGACAGAAGGTGCTCGGGAAGGTTTTCGGTTGGAACCCCTTTCTTATTGAGGATGTTTACCGAAAGCTTCTGTTTACACAAAAAAACAACACCAGTAATGTGAGAAGCGCCTTTCTATATTTCGTGAACAGCAGTCAGAGAATTCGCTCCTCGTGTAGGATTTCATTTTTTATATTATTGACTGAACAATGTTCCTATTCCTTTTGCATAATATACAAAAGAGAGAGATGATTTGGGAGTCAATTCTTGCCAACAGCACCAAAGGCAATTATCGTGCGTGTATATGAAAGAGAGATAAAAGGAATGAAAGAGAGAATGAAAGATAGAGAGAATGAGGAGCTTAACTGTGGTCGATGTTTTTGTTTTTTTCTTCAGCCAGTGTTGGGGCCTGCTTTCCGAAGCAAGGTAACCACACCCAGCTACTCCCATATCCTCTCATGTCGACCTGCCTCTGGCCAATCAGAGCCTCTGACTGGCTTGTCATTTTGTTTCACTGATTTTGTCAATTGTATGTCAGTGCCTTGTCTCTGCATACTGCCTGGCCCTCTGTTGTCTGCGTGCCATGTGCGTTAGCCGCCTGTCTTTATGAGCGAGAGAGAGGGGGTAGTAAAGCTACACGTGCATTAGATTGCATCTCTTGTCCTCAGGAGGTGGTTTGGGAATACGTAAACATATTTGTGCTGCTCTGTCAGAAGCATCATGCACTTTTAAACTGAGGGGGCCCGAACAGTAAACCAAGGTGTCAAGGCTTGGCTGGTTAGCATGGTTCAGTTTGCCCCTGCTGGTAGATGCTGTAACTGCAATTTGCAAGTATCTGTGGAATATGATAAATTAATAAAATTGTAGGTAACATATGTTTTACTATATTATAGAATCACCATTTTTTTTAACAGATTTTCCTCACCTGTATGGTTTTTTCCCCATCTTCTTAAAGGGATAGTTCACTTTAATTTGCTGGTCCCGACTGATTTCCGTAGTATGTAAAAAAAAACTATGCAAGTCAATGGGGACGAGCATAGGCGGAGGGTGAACCAACTCCAATGTAAGGCTAAAAGCAGCCAAATCTATTAACTACAAACATCATAAACCTGTCTTTTTAGGCAAGAACCAGACATGGGTGTCATGTAGGCTAATAAAATGTTTAATCAATGGGTCTGAATTTAAAACATTAGAAATTGATAATTATATAACGTTTCCTTCCCACGGTTATTCAAACGGCGAATAAAATATGTACAGAAATGACATAATCACTAACTTTGATCTATCGCACTCTCAAAAAAACAAAACTATCGTTATAATCACTGAAGCTGTCTACACTGCGAAATGAATCCCTTACTTACATTGTACGTACATCTGCGCTTTGTTGTTTATGATGAGAGAATTCACGGAATTCAGTCATCGAACGTGCGCGCATTCAACAAAGCTGATGAGTTT